CAGGAAACCAATTGTGAAATTTTCTGTGTGTGAATTACTTCGCAGAGGAGAACCTCGCTCCCAGCTATAGCTGTAGATTAGACTTATGATGGAGAATAAGTTTTGGCTCCTGAAAGAAAATATCACTAGCAGAGAGTGAAGATTTTGCTGGAACAAACCTGCAGTGTACAAGATTAAGATGGCAGAAGAGATCTTTCTTCCTAAGATGTTTTCCTGTAGAATTCACTTCAAGTAGCCACACATATGCTTTAAAAGTAGGAAGTTTGGAATTCATTGATCACTTTTTGCTGTGTCATGTAATTTAATAACTCTCCATGACCAGTGCTTGATGGCACAAGAGAGTTACTGTACTTGTGGTAGCAGCATGGCAGAAGTAGGTTGTTGGGACAAGGTTCTCCAGCCAGAAACTGAGGAGCACAGTGCTAAAGCGGGCTTATTCGGTATTCACACAAGGTAGTATGATGCATTGCTGCCTATGGATTGATCCTGAGAGGCAATTGGATCTGTTCAAACCATGCTTAATAACCAAAGTGAAACTTGAGAATGGGTCAAATCCTGGTTCTTTGTGAGCACCTGCAGAGTGTACTTATCCAGCAAGATTGTCTGGTTTTTGAAACAGCAACAAAAAAGGAAAGAGAGGAGAAGGTGTTCACTTATCCTTTGGGAAAGAGCTTTGCTAATACTTTCTCTTGCTCAGCATTATGGGTATTTGAAATGCAGTGTGTTCTGGAGAATTAAAGTAGGGCTACATTTGCATGGTCCAGCCCAGGGGATCTGTGTTTCCAGCTAATGTCCGTGTTCCCTGAGTTAACAGGATTTTTTTGAATCTCCAGTTCTGCCCTCCTCCTTCCCTCTTGCTGGACCCAAAGCCCTGTTTACTCTCCTGTAATAAGGTTGTTTTCACTCCTTCTTTCCAGTGACCAAGGGTGGTGTGTATTGTTTGTCAGGAATCCTACCGTACTGCAAGGAACAGGGGATGTTCCCTCCTACATCTGTGCTGATGAGAGTATTCTAATTGCTCTTCTTTCAGAATTTCTTCTAAACATTTAAGTTATTATTATATAATATCATTAGACTCATTTGTCTTTATAACATCTCACTGCAGCAAATTTTTTCAGTTTAATTATATGTTGTTTCAAAGATTTCTTTCTGTAAAATTCAAGGCAGGATGTGTATTATCAATACTGCTGGTTTTCTTTAATACACAGTATGGATAATTTAGTTTCTTGAGGACACTGTTTGGTTTATATAAGTGTGTTTCTATCCCACATAAGGCAGGGTGACACATAGCTAAATCAGAAGTGGTTAAGTTGCAATGCTGGAAATTCAAAGCTTAGTCATCTAGGACTGTATTAGAACTTGTGCACTGAGAGAAGCCACACTGAAATTCCAGGGGCAGCCTTAGGTCAAATGTTTCCTGGCCCCTTAATTCTTGATTTTGTAAACTCAATGTTCTTCTAATGTTTTTAATTTTGACAGGATTTGGGGTTGGGGTTTTGTTTGTTTGATTGATTGATTGATTGATTGATTGATTTTTTTGGGGTTTTTTTGCATCTGCCTCTTCTTCCTTGTTTTATATTTTGCTCTGGCCTCTTGGCCCAGCTGGTCCCAACTCTTTCCCAGTTCCTTGTCAAAGCTATTTCCCCTTCATGGGCATACTGATTCCTGCCATGTCTCCTAGTACAGCCAGTTCCCCTCTCATCTTCTCCCTCAATGCTTTCATTTAGCCAGTGTGAGCTACCTGCTCCTCCACACACTCCTGCATAGGGAAGTGGTTGACAGACACACCGGTAGTTGCTTTCTTCTTTCCCCCTAGTCTGATCCTCTGTTTCTTGACTCCCAGTCTCTGGTCAGATATGCCTCTGTTCACTGTTAACCTCCAGCCACAGCCCTGTTTCCCCAGTGTGATTCTGGTTCTGTGGTCTGGCAGAGCTTTTGTTTCTTGTTCCTTTCCTTCTGCTGGGAGTGCACCAACAAGCTCACTAGGGCCATGAGAAAGCAGCTTTCTTCATGTCCTCCACCCTTGGCCCACAGCCACCCACAGGCAGTGAAGTGGGTCCTATTGCTCTGTCACCAGGTCTTGTGAAATCCTGTCACAGGCAACTGTGTAGGCTTTAAGCATCTCTGTGTGAATGGGATCTGGCTGCTAAAAGTTCCAGCACATCTGTGCTATGTGCATATAGCTTTCTTCCATGGAAGAGTCAACATTTTTACTTGATTTGGTATGATTTCCACAGGGATAACTAACAGCTTTCTTTATAGGAAGATTACTCCTGACAGGCTAGAGGCCCATGTGGCCACTGATCTCTGAAAATACTTCTGCCTTTATTTTTAGTGACCCATGTCTTTTCTTCTAGCTTCAGTTTTAGAAATGAATCAGCTGTATTCCTTGAGATGGGTTTCAGTGAATCCTAAATGTCACTTCATTGCAGTAGTGCTAGCAGTCTGTGTTTTAAATTAAGACTAAACTGGGCATGAAACATGCCCTGAGCAGATAACAAAAATGTAGTCCTTGACCTAGAGAAATTATGATTAAAATATAAAATATGCTAATTCACTGTAGATGGATAAGGAGAACAAGTTAAATTATACTTGCAAGCTCTTAGGCTGCTAGGATCTTGTCTATAAAAGACTGGTATTGAAGCACAGAATTTTTTTAATGAGTAATCCTTGCATTGTTTATTGGGAGTATGAGAAGTAATGTGAGAGAAGGTAAAAGGGGTGTTTATTCAAAAGAATAACCCATGGGCAGTGGAGTCTGGAAGTATTTGTTGAGTGTCTATCAATCAGGGCTGACATAAAGGTTGGACCAGATGAAACTTGAGGTCCCTTCCAACTTGGCATTCTATGAATTCAGTATTGATTGAAAGGTGATACATGAAAAGCCCTGAGAGTGCAAACAAGGAAACTTTACTTATTGACCACAACAGAAAGAATCAGTGGAGGGATGTACATCATCAAAAATGCTCCGCTGTGCAGGGGCAGAACTGTGCATGTATCATTCCCAACAGCAGCTGTCCAAAGTAGTCTCAGAGGCTTCCATTGCCATGATGCTGAGTTCTTTCCAAAGCAGCCTATCACAAGCTTTACCAGTAAAAGGTTTTTATTAATGATTATTCTGAGCCTCCCCTGCTACAGTTTAAGTTCATTACCTGCTGTCATACACACCTTCAGGGCAAAACCAGCATGGGACTTCTAGGTCATGTTCAGCTTTTGATTTATGAATCCTTTTCTGCTGAACTGCTGTTAGTCTCTCACTCTTCACCCTATATCTGTGCAGTGGATTATATCTGATTACATATAGAATTTTGCATTTGCTATGGAGTAGTTTGCATGTATTCTTCATCTTTTTCTCACAGAATCAGTAATGAGAGAAGCTGATAATTTTTACTTAATGGATAAAAAATACTTTTATTTACATACATATGCATTGGAGAGTAATCCATTGATTCATTGACTTTCAAGACCCTATTAAGTGGTTTAAAGTAGTATTTAAGCTACAGATGCTTTTCCTGACAGCTGTGCACATGTAAAATAGAAGCAGCATTTTCAGGAAAGCCTTTATCACTTGCCCATTGAAGTAAATGCGAGGCTTTCCACTGATTTCAGATTAAAGACTCATCTTAAATCTATTAGCTCATACCCTAAACATGCGCCAGTACTCAAGTGTGTTTTTTCCTTTATTTGTATACATTGCATAACATGGACAAGCATTAGTCAGAGAAGACAAGATATTTTTTCCCTTTTAATGTCCTTCTTTATAGTGGGAAATGTTTTCATTATTTCAGCTTTGTTTTTCTTTTCTTCCCAGAAAATATCTCTGCTCAGAATTTTTTTAAGGATTCAAAAGGGGATGTGCTAAATAAAAGCAGTGTGCAACAGTATACAATAGACTGGAATGAAGGTTTTGATCTTGGATGAGTCAGTGGACTTCCCATTCTGTTGTTACTGCTAATGTCTAACCCTGACATTTATTTAAAAAAAGCCTAGAGGAGTGAAACTATTAAACCTCTGAATGATTCTTCCTCCCTCATCCCTTAATCCACCCTTAATTCTTAAACCATTACTGCAGGAAGATAGATAGACTTTTAACTCTTCAGAAGTCTTCCACTGTTTAGGTTCAAAAGGTTTGGGGGAATCATTAAAAATTAACACAAAAATTATTGCAGTGAAGGTGAGTGGGCAGATTTCTATGATTAATAAGAGATTAGTTCCATATTCAAATGGTGACCCTAAGAAGAACTGCAGAAAATGCTGCACTGTTACAGTGAGTACAAGATCAAACAGGCTTTATAGTAACAAATTAAATAAACTGTTTACAAATGATGTGCTTGTATGCCCTTTTCTGCACTCAACATTTTTCTGGCTGAATAGGCTGCACGACAAGTGTATCTCCTGTTTTCTTCCATGTCTGTATGTACACATACCTTTAGAGTTATGGGAATAGATATCTCGGTTGTTTTGAGTCTATTCTGCAGTTGTGGCCATGATGGAAAAGAAGTTTCTTTTTCCTTATCTCCTGTCTGGTGTATTCTTTTTATGTCATTATCACTACTGCTGCCACCAGAGTTTATATGCTGATTTTCAATTACAGTTTTTCTCTTCCCCAAAGGAACGTGGAAAGAGACAAAATAAATATAGGAATGAACAAGAGGGTGGTGTAAAATCGGATGTTATGCAGTTTGTTCATTTTGTTCCATAAAAATATAAATACATAGCCAAGGATTTGAGAGATATTCCAAAATAATACAGTGTTAATGGCCATCACTGGTATTTCCACGTATAAAAGATAAAAAGAATCCCTAGGTATTTCATGAGTAATTGTGTAACGTTTTTTGGATCAAGGAAAAGTCAGATTTTAAAGAGGATGCTGGGTTTCTTTCCCTTTTTTGCAGCTTATGTACACTTTCTTTGTGGTACATTGTCTTGTACAGTATTATGTACTCAATATATCTGAGAAACACAAAATTGTTCCAATTTTCCATGTGTTACTTAAGTGTAAGCTTCTTAAAAAATTGTTAAAAATAATTGAAGCTATTCTATAATTGCTCAAATGCAGCTATCAGCTGAAGGTTAAACTCATATGTTCTATTTAATGCACATTATAATTTTATGTATAACATTAGCGGTGGGATTGTATTTGTCATCACAGATCAATGCAGTAAAAGTTTAGCCAGCTTATGGCTTTCTGTAAAGAAACGAGAGTTCTGATGTCTGTCAAAGAGGTTTTTTTTCAGGTCACTGAAAGCTGATGACAGATCATTTGGTATAAAATTCCAATTATATATTGTTATACATTTGGATGGACATCATAGAAAAAGAAAATCAAACTGAGGACAAATAAGCAGCCAAGTGATTTACTTTAATAAATAATTAGCTTACTCTGTAAATGCAAGACCAGTGCAATTCATAATAATTTTTAATCCCACTTGAAATAAGTTGTAATAGCAAAATGAAAATGAAACTGACAACCATTAGGTTAAATTACGCCTGATTGGAAACATGTTGAAATATGAAGACTTTGAATGATACCAAACTCAAAGGAAATCCACAAGGAATAAACTGTGAAAAAACTGACGCCTTTTGCCTGAAGTATTTCCCAGCAAAGACATAAATCACAGGGTTAATTCAGCTGTTGGTGATAGCCAGGGTGTAACCAAACTGCTCACCAAAGTTGAGCAGTTTCCCCCCAGAATCACCCTTTGAGCACTTCTGTCTGGTATAATGTATCAAGGAATACAAAAAAATGGTAAGGAGTCCAGCACAGAAGAAACATCAGTACCATTGTGAAGATCAGCCTGGTAACCTTTGTGCCTTTGTTCTCCTTGCAACTCTTTGTTCCGAGTGCTCTGCGTTCCCTTGCCTTTTTTTTAAGGAAGTGTATGGTAGAGAAATTAAAGGAGATAACTGCTGTAGATGTCAACACAGACCCCACTATGTTGAATATGAGCCTTTCAGTTGTTACCCACAATGGGGCAGGGAAGTCTAAAGTGCATGCTGAAATATTCCACAGGGGAAAGTGTTCACAGTCGGAAACATAAAGGTTGGGATGCTGAGAAGGCTGCCAAAGAACCAGGCAAGCAAGCAGATCCCTTTGGCTGTAGTTTTGCTCTGTATCGCTCTGTTGTCCAAGGTGTGAACAAAAGTCAAATAGCGATCCACACTGACTGCCACCAGCAAGTAGATGCTGGGGTACATGTTCAGGCTGATGGATGTGTTGGTGCTGCAGCAAAGGAAACTGCCAAATGGCCAGTTAAATTAATTCCTGATGTTTTCTGCCCAGAAAGGGAGACATGGGAGGAAGATAAAATCAGCAGCAGCTAGGTTCATAAGGTAGATTTCATCTATCTTCAGGGGACCCTTGTGCAGTGAATAAGTGAATAGAACAAATGCATTTCCAAGCATTCCAATAATAGTCTTGATATATTTGGGTACTATATAATACACTATTTCCCACAAGTCATTCAAGTCCAGGCAAATAGTTGAGTTGCTCTTGGTTGCACTGTGGTTTGAGGAGGGAACACTCAGTAGAGAAGTTTCAGGCATTTTAAAAAAATTTCTGAAGTGAATGGGAGATGTCTTTGAAATGAGAGGAAGGGACCTCAAAAAAAGAAGCATAACATTTAAAGGTCTTCCATCAGTGGTATAACTAACATTTAACTTCTGGAAGTGTCCACTGATTATTACAGGCTACATCAATCCATGCTTCGTATGTGCAATGGTGAGAAATGTTCGCATATTGGCAAGCTTTGAGTTTCTTCTAAATCCTACGAAATTTCCTCTTTTTGCTGCCATTGTTTAAAGTGACACAAAGGAACAAAAATGCCGATTTAGTGTAAGTAGTTCTGTGTCTCCTCCAGACTGATGGCAGAAAGAGATAGCCAAATTCCAGCTCCCTGAGAGCAGCAGGAATCACACTGGTGACAAAGCTAGCTGTGCACCCTTCCCTTCCCTGCCCTTTCTCTTACTCTTATTTTCCGTATTATGTATAAATTTAGCAGGATGATACCCATTTCCCCCACACCAGGAATGCTACTTACTCTCTGTGTGCATCACTCATTTGTTTAACTTTTCATTCTTTTCCTCCCTTCTCAGTTCCTCCCATCCTGAACTTTGGGTTAACAGCATTGCTGTTAGATTAGACAGCTTATTACCCTCAAATGTCAGCAATTATAATAATAAAGCATTGACTCCTCCAAGATCTTATGCTAAAGATCTTGGCTGGAGAGAGGGTCTCTACAGGTCCAAATTCACAACACTCCTCTCCAGTTCAAAATTTCATTTGAGTGCAGGTGGAGGGAGGCAGCCGCAGCCTCCAAAGCATTTAGTCTTTTGTAGCATTAGTAGTGTAGTGCCTTTATTTCTCTCTGGTAAGTCTGTGTGAAGTAGTGCAGGAATGAGAACGTACGTAAAATGTCATTTTCAATTGAAAATCTGCTGGGTTGCCAGAGCTGCCTCCTCTGGTGACTGTTCTCCTGGTGGTGGTGTGCTTAATAATAGTGCCTGCATCTTGTTTTTTTCAGGCATTTGGTCTCAGAGCCATTATTGTAGACAAGACATTGCTGAGACTATGATAACATCAAACATTTCAGTATTTAATGAATGTTTAAGTGGAGCATGTCAGTCATAAAGAAGAATGCATTAAAAAAAAAATAAATCAGTATTTTGCAGGCAGTCATCCTGAATGTTAATTTTCTGCTACAGCTATTTCACTCTGCTCTCTGTTTCTGTATTTTTACACCCAGAGATAACTAAGGATGGAGTTTCTGAGGAAAGCATCATTCATCTCTTACATATATGTACAACCCTAGTGATGTCTGTACCTCAGCCACTTGCAATATTTCTGTCTGTAATACCTCTAGGCATTAGTTAAGTACTAATATTCCACATCAGACAATTTGGTACCTAATGCACAGAGCATTTTCTATCATTGTGGAATTAAGAGAGCAGCAAAGTTTTAGCTGAGTTCATAAACTCACCCAAGCTGGCAGTCTTGTCAGGGAGCTGGGCTACAACTCAAGTTAACACAGCTCTCTGAATTTGAACATCTTCCCTCACAACAGTCTGAATGTTATCTCTTTCACTGAGTCTCGTGCAAACTAAGACAACTTGAGAGGATCTAAAACCAAAAAGACAGCAGGAATCTAACCCTTTTGTAGCAGGTTTCTGGCTAAGATATAAGAGCAATGAAAGAAAATCTGTAATGTTCTATGTAAAAAATAATGGAGAAGATATATAACAGTTAAATATTTCCTTTTGTAAACAGAATCATTGCTTTTACTAAATACAGAGGAAAAAGAAGGGTTTATTTTCCTTGCTTATGATCTCTGGGCTGGAGCCATGGACTCATTCATGATGAGCTAAACTAAAAAAAAACCTCAGGAACATTTACTTTCCAGTGCAACTTGGATTTTAGCTGCAGCTAACTATGACCTCCTGGTCAGGTAGCAATTGTGCATGAAGCGTCTGTAGAGTTAGTCACTGGAAAAATTTCTCCAGAGCCTGCTAGCTAGTGTCTGAGCACTACCACATGCCTTTTATAAACTTGGAGGTCCAGATGTCCTCTTGGCAGAAAATGTGATTCGTATTCAGTTGTATAATTTCATTTCCTCTTCAAAGGGAATTTTCTTCTGTAGGTATTTTTAAGTATGTAGTGCTAACAGGCAATTAGCCACATGAACAATTCCTAATTTATGTACTTAACACATTTCAGTCACCTTTTATTTGAATAATGATGTATTTTATTGCTTTGAACACATTTCTGATTAATTTCAATACACAGTGAACCTATGACCATTATTATTATTAATACATAGTAACCAGCTAGGATCATGTGTTCTGGAAACACTAAACAAATACAGTTTGAGCTTAGGGAACAATCTTAAATGTAGATTACACTGAAAGTGAAAATCCAGGAAAAGAGATCAGTATGTTTGGCTGGAAAGAAATTTTATAAAATGGATCATGGTTTTGTGTATAAAGAGAACTAATCCTTACTCTCAGAGTTAGTTTCACAGTAAAAAAGAAAGGGAAACTCTTAGTAGACTGCACAGATCAGAACTGAGAGCATGAAAGATTTTTTTATACATAAAAAGTGTACAAAATGATTGTAATAAAGGTAAGATAAAAACCAGATAGGCACCCCTAATCCTTGTGCTTCCTGGTGATTTAAGTAAAGTTTTAAATTCAGGAGCAGTTGGTAAAGAACAGTGAAGAGGTTACTGAGAGAATTCAAAGATCCATCCTGAGGCACGACTGAGGTGTTGTCTGTGTGGTTTGCTGGCCACGTACAGTGTGTGTGATGTTACATTTTGGAAGAAAGCCCCAGGATATAACTTTTTTTTCACTTCTCCAAATGTTGGCTGTAGTAATTTCCAAGGCATGTGAAATATCATTCTCATTGTGAAATCTTAAAAGCCATATACTGCGTTGCCTGTTCTCCTGTGACCACTAAATAAGGTTCTCAAGTACAGGTCCTTGTCAAATAAAAGTTCCTTTGTATGATTAACTATGTCTGTAATAAAAACAATCTCATGAACAGCTCTCTCAGTACCGACGCGTCCAAAGACAAACTTTTAACTAGGTTTTTGTTGTGGTGGGAGCTCCTTTCTCTGCCAGCCTGGGGGAGCAAGACGCCAAGGAGCTGGGTTTAGAGCACAAGAGGTATATGGGAAGGGCTGCTGAAACATGGACCCACTACATCCTGTTTCCACTGTTTCTGAAAAGCAATGTCTTTTGCACCCCACTGTAGGTGTCTAGGGCATGAATCTCTGTGAACATCACTTCTCAGTAGCACATGGTAACTGCTGTATTTTCTCAGGCTTGCACCCATAAATAATCTTTTTATGTGATTCCCTGCTGGGACCTTGTAGGCTAAGGCTGCTTGTTTATAAATTATTCTTATCTTTTTCATTTTGACTGTCTGCTGATTAGAGCAATTTTTTAAAAAAGTTCACACCTGACCAATTTGGTGGCCTTCTATGATGGGGCTACAGAACTGATGGACAGCGGTAGAGCAGTTGATCTCATCTATTTGTATTTGTGTAAAGCGTTCGACCCTGTCCCACACGACATTCTTGTCTTTAAATTGGAGAGACATCAATTTGATGAATGGACCACTCGGTGGATAAAGAACTGGCTGGATGGCTGAACGCAAAGAGTTGTGGTCAATGGCTCAATGTCCAGCTGGAGACCTTTAACGAGTGGTGTCCCTCAGGGATCGGTGTTGGGACCGGTCTTGTTTAACATCTTCGTAGCTGACATGGACAGTGGGATTGAGTGTGCCCTCAGCAAGTTTGCCGATGACACCAAGCTGTGTGATTCGGTTGATACGCTGGAGGGAAGGAATGCCATCCAGAGGGACCTTCACACGCTTGTGAGGTAGGCTGATGCCAACCTCATGAAGTTTAGCCATGCCAAGTGCAAGGTCCTACACCTGGGTCGGAGCGATCCCAGACACAGCTACAGGTTGGGCAGAGAAGGGATTCAGAGCAGCCCTGCGAAGAAGGACTTGGGGGTGCTGGTCGATGAGGAAATGAACATGAGCTGGCTTCAGTGTGCGCTTGCAGCCCAGAAAGCCAACCGTATCCTGGGCTGCATCAAAAGGAGCGTGACCAGCAGGTCGAAGGAGGTGATCCTGCCCCTTTATTCTGCTCTCGTGAGACCTCACTTGGAGTATTGTGTACAGTTCTGGTGTCCTCAACATAAAAAGGACATGGATCTGTTGGAACAAGTCCAGAGGAGGGCCACGAGGATGATCTGGGGACTGGAGCACCTCCCGAATGAAGATAGGCTGAGCAAGTTGGGACTGTTCAGACTGGAGAAGAGAAGGCTGCGTGGAGACCTCATAGCAGCCTTCCAGTATCTGAAGGGGGCATATGCTGGGGAGGGACTCTTCATTAGGGACTGTAGTGGTAGGACAAGGAGTAATGGGTTAAAACTTAAACAGGGGAAGTTTAGATTGGATATAAGGAGGAAATTCTTTCCTGTTAGGGTGGAGAGGCACTGGAATAGGTTTTCCAGGGAGGTTGTGAATGCTCTATCCCTGGCAGTGTTCAAGGCCAGGCTGGACGAGGCCTTGGGTAATATGGTTTAGAGCGAGGTGTCCCTGCCCATGGCAGGGGGGTTGGAACTGGGTGATCTTGGGGTCCTTTCCAACCCTAACTATTCTATGATTCTATTATTCTATGATGCACCTCATTTTAAATACAAATCTCTCCAGTAGATCTGTATGAACAGTGGGGGTTTCAACTTCTTTTAAAATAACAGTGACAAATTAGCAAGGGAATGGAATGTAATTTACTTATATGAAAACATTCTATTGGCTACCCACTGAACACATGCGCCATCTCTATGAATTCTTACTCAACTGTGTCTTTGTTTGGTAAGTGAGTTAAAATGAAAAGCCATATGAGGCTGCACAGTGATATCTTAATATGAACTCCCCTATCATCATGATAAATAGTTTTGTTCTAACTTTTTATTTGTTAAAAAGATACAAAGAGTTATGCAAACACTGGTAAAACTGACAAAAAAGCTGTTCTGTTTAACAGCAGCACACTGGAGAAAACTGTAAAGAATCCAACATTTAATTTTAAAAGTTGCAATGTGTAAATAACTTTTTGTAAACAGCGTCCTACTTAAGTATTTACTTATTTTATTAAACAACTGTAACATTGTAAAAAAACACCTCTCAAATAAAACTATCTGCTTCATTTTTGACAAAATGATATTTTTTAATATCTTGATCCAAACTTTTATTTTGGTGAAGACCTGAAAGACATCTTTTGAATTACGTGTTGCCTAGGGAACCCTAATAACCTACAGGAGATCAGTCTTGAAACAACACATCCCATGCTGACTCATGAAGGTAAGTGCAATGCAACAGGAGATCTTCATCAAACACTTTCCAAAACTTCCTCTCTGCTTACGCCACTGCATTTCTGAGTTTAAATTATTTTTTCCATAAAGAAGAACATTTGAGCAATAATGAGGAGTCTGGAAATCATCCTTGCTTGGACATCAGTCTCTAAGAGCTGCCAACATCCACATTTACTCAGATCTCTGAATGAAAATTGCAGCTGCATCTCAGTTTTACAAAACTCGTCACTTCAAAATGGGATCAAATTGTTGATTTGCAAATCCAGCTTCTCTTTGTAAACTTAAGTTTTTTATTTTCAGTTGTTTTTCATTGTCATCTTTAGAACTTTTTTTAGTAGTGGAGGGAGATTCAGAACTGGGAGTCTACGTATTTGCTGCAAACAATGAAAGGGATAGGCACTGCTGTTGCTCCAGCCCCTAAACAACTTAGAACAACTTCACGTAAGAAGCTATAGCTTTATAAAAAAAGGGATTTAATTTATTATTTCTTTGCAACTAGGGTTTTCATTTCAACCTGTAGAAAGCATAAATAATTCGTTAACATTTTACAGTTTGCACAGATGTAATGCACCACAAATCAAAGGGATTTTAAGGGTTAGTTAAAAACAGCTTATATAGGAGTCAACAGTTCAAAGGTTTTTGCGGTGTATACATAATTAAAACTTAACTGTCTATTGGTGTCTTCTACTTGGGATACTCACAGCACATTAGTTTCTGCTATGATATTCAGCCACTCTGTCTATGTTGACTTTCCTGCAAAAAGTACACATTCTCTAGAGTTGCATAGGAATTTACAAATGCTAACTGGGCCGCTATGATCAGAAAGACTAAACAGGTATCTTGATGAAGGCAGGGGTGAGACCTCTCAATTATTGCACAAATTATGTGGTAGACAAATGGCAGAAATCCAAAAGGTCTCCAGAGTTGTGGCTCTTGGTCCAACAGTTCAGCCATTAAAATCTTCCTCTTAACATAGCTGGAGCACTTATGATCTGAACTAATTAATGTTTTTGAACAGTATGATTTATGGTTTGATTTTCTTTATTGAAATGTCTGCAAATAAACACAGTTTGCTGCTGCTGTTGCTGTTCATCTATTCTGGAACAGGAGAAATGTTTTTGATGTGACCTTGTGATGTAAAATTCTTCATTCAGCTTGGCTGGATTTCTTTACTCAAGCACCTATACTATAGACAGTGATTACTAAGGAGAGCTTAAACTCTCATGCAGTGATTTACAGTTCTTAATATGTGATTCTGGTAGCATCATAGTACAGTAATAATCAAGCCCTACTAACTACAGTTTGTAGTGGCTGAAACAGCACAATACAGAAGGAGCCAATATAGGCTGAAACCCCACAATGTACTGACGGAAGACTGGAGTCAAAGGACAATTCAATGGCCAAAGTACTGTTTGGGGATTTGGAAGACCTGAACTGAGATCCTGACTTCTCCACATAAACCCTGCCTAGAAAAGAGAAACCTTGTCCAATCCACAAGAAATGCCAGCTGTTTTTGCTAAAAGCTATTAAGATCATTAATTTTGCATTTCAAGTGAGGCCAATAATCAACCTAAAAAAAAAAAACAGACAGTGAAAATATGAGAATTATTCCTGCCAGCACCTACTTGCAGGCCAGAAATATCAACTGTCTGTTGATATCCTTGCCCTTCCTCTGGCGATGGTTCCTCTGGCGGTGGTCCCTCGCCACCTCCATCTGACTGAATGCAGAGTCCAAGATTTGCAAGGCCAAAGCATTTATGAAAGAAGTGGCAGCCTTGGGTAAAAGGGAAAAAGGGAGGGGTAAAGAGGAATAAAAAGGTGTTGTGATTACAGTTTGACATCTGCAGCTCTGCAATGCTCAGGGTAGTCTCCCTTCATTTTACCAAGAACCATTCTCATAGAATCATAGAATAGTTAGGGTTGGAAAAGACCTTAAGATCATCAAGTTCCAATCCCCCTGCCATGGGCAGGGACACCTCCCACTAAACCATGTCACCGAAGGCTCTTTACAACCTGGCCTTGAACACTGTCAGGGATGGAGCATTCACAGCTTTCCTGGACAACCTATTCCAGTGCCTCACCACCCTAACAGTAAAGAATTTCTTCCTTATATCCAAACTAAACTTCCCCTGTTTAAGTTTTAACTCATTACCCCTTGTCCTGGCACTACAGTCCCTAATGAAGAGTCCGTCCCCAGCACCCCTATAGGCTCCCTTCAAGATACCGGAAGGCTGCTATGAGGTCTCCACGCAGCCTTCTTTTCTCCAAGCTGAACAGCCCCAACTTTCTCAGACTATTTTCATACAGGAGGTGCTCCTGTCCCTTGATCATCGTCGTGGACATCCTCTGGACTTGTTCCAACAGTTCCATGTCTTTTTTATGTGTACCAACCAAACCACACAGCTTGGTGTCATCGGCAAACTTGCTGAGGACGCACGCAATTCCACTGTCCATGTCACCATGCCACCAAATTGGTCAGGCAGGATTTCCCCTTAGTGAAGCCATGCTGGCTGTCACCAAGCACCTTGTTGTTTTTCATGGGCCTTAGCATGCTTTCTAGGAGAATCTGCTCCAAGATTTTGCCAGGCACAGAGGTGAGACTGACTGGTCTGTAATTCCCTGGGTCATCCATTTTCCCATTCTTGAAAATGGGGATTATATTTCCCTATTTTCAGTCATTGGGAACTTCACCTGATTGCCATGATTTTTTAAATATGATGAACAGTGGCTTAGCAATTTCATTTGCCAGCTCCTTCAGGACCCGCGGATGGATTTCATCAGGTCCCATGGAATTGTGTACGTTGAGGTTCTTAAGACAGTCTCAAACCAGATCGTCTCCTCCAGTGGTCCTAGGGTCTTATTCTCACAGTCCCTGTGTCTGCCTTCCAAGACTTGGGTGGTGTGGTCAGAGCCTTTGCCAGTGAAGACCGAGGCAAAGAATTCATTAAGAACCTCAGCCTTCTCCAAATCCAGGGTAGCCAGTTCTCCTGATAGCTTCCAGGGGGGGCCTACGTTGTCCCTAGTCTGTCTTTTATTCACTGCGTACTTACGGAATCCCTTCCTATTATCCTTAACATCCTTAGCCAAGTTTAATTCTAACTGGGCCTTAACTTTCCTAACTTGGTCCGTAGCTTCCCGGACAACATCCCTGTATTCTTCCCAGGCCTAGTGTCCTTGCTTCCACCTTTTATAAGCCTCTTTTTTCCTTTGAAGTTTCCTCTGCAGCTCCTTATCGATCCAATGAGGTCTCCTAGCCCTCCTGCTGCACTTCCTTCTAACTGGGATACAACACTCCTGAGCTTGTAGCAGGTGATCCTTGAATGTCAACCAAGAGTCTTGGGCTCCCCTGCCCTCTAGGGCTATATCCCATGGAACCTTACTAAGCAGGTTCCTGAAGAGGCCAAAGTCTGCTCTGTTGAAGTCCAGGGCAGTGAGCTTGCTGCATGCTCTTCTCACTGCCCTGAGGATCTCTAAATCGACCATCTCGTGGTTGCTGCATCCAAGGCTGCCCTGGAGCATCACATTTCCAATGAAATGAGCATGGTCATGGTGAGCATGAGGTCAAGCATGGCACCTCTCCTTGTCAGCTCCTCTATTACTTGCAGAAGGAAGTTGTCTTCCACACAATCGAGGAACCTCCTGGATTGCTTGTGCTGGGCCATGCCATCACTCCAACAGATGTCAGGGTGGTTGAAGTGCCCCACGAGAACAAGGGCCTGCAAGCGTGAGGCTGTACCTGTCTGTCTATAACTTTGACTTGTTTCTGTGAGGACAGAGCCAGGCATCTGAATGTGATTGTAAACTGCCAGTATGTAAGACTTGGACATAGCACTTTTTCATTTTAGGAGTTTGGTTATTGGCACAAGTGGTACATGCCATTACTGCATAATGTGTGACTGTGCTGGAAAGTGGGCAAGAACGCAAATGTCTGTGAGCTCACATTGTGCAGTCTGCAGAAGCTGGTACAGGGGCTTTCCATTGCTGTTGGTGTCTGTGTGCTTTGATGGAAGAGTAAAAGCTTTAGGGTGAAGGTCCATCCTGCAAACAGCACCTGTAGGCTTTTGTGTACCCTAAGTCCTCACAAAGGAAAGCAGTATCTGCAGTTTCATAGGCAGAGAAAAACTACTGAAAAGATTTTGGTATCCTTAGCTGCCTTGATTCATATTTTAGTTTTCAAAGGGTCCGAGGGTGGTCTGCACCACTCAGAAATGAGCCCTGAAAAGAAAGCTGACCCAAAACTTCGAAAGCAGCTAGAATTTTGCGGTTTTAGCTCATTTTCCTTTGGTAAAACGGGAAGTGAAAGAAAGTACCTGCAACAGTTGCACTTCTGACAAGTCACTGCTGACTAACAGGATAAGAGCTAGAGAATAAAATGCCAGCAAATCTTCTTTCTTAGTTTATTTTCTGGTATACATGCTTACTGCATAGTAAAATAACATCTATATATTTACATGATTTAAATTAATGTCATATTAATATAATAACATATTTATATTTTATTTCTCAGTACCAAATACTCAAAAATCTCCTCTATTGCATGAATAATCTCTGTATGGACTTCCTTTTATTTAATGACTGTGTGAACAGCATGCTTGTGAATGAGACAGTATTGACAACAGTGGAAATAAGAGAAAGCCTTGAAGTGTTTCCTCATAGGTGTCTTGGACAGTATAAGGAACGAACAATAGAAATATTTGTGATAGGATTATATTGGATTGTTAAAGAAAACCTATAGAAATTGTCTATAAGTCATCTGAGGTGATCTAAATCCTATAGTTTTTACAGTACATCCACACACTTTTAAAGCACTTTTGGGGTTAATTATTTGAAGGTTTAATACATATTTCTCATCTTAAATGTAACTTTATAATGCCATTCAAGCTCCAAAGAATATAATGCCTCCAGAGATGGCACATCCACCACCTCTTTGAGCAACCTGTTCTGGTATTTTACCACCCTTATTGTAAACATTTTTTCCTCATGTCCAGCCTGAATTCTCTCTCCTTTAGTTAATTGAGTCCAGTTAGGGAAAAGATACCTCATATTAATATCTCTCAGATTAACTCTACAAATAAAATGTAGGTACTGTTAGACTCTGAAAAGGCCATTCCTGAATATTCTGAACTTTCTAGACTCCTGTTAGCTTTAGTTAGATTTCTAAGGCTGTTAAGCAATGTTCTCCTTCATGTTCTCAGTTTCTTCTACTTCATCATTTATGCTGCTAAACTTTTATATGTCTATTAATTAACATTACCAATATTAATTATCCTTTGTGAATATTGAAAACTAAGTCTCTGAGCTGAAGTGTAGGTATGGATAAATAATATTCACTCATTCAAAAGGAGTAAGTGAATGCCTTTACCCAGTGCAAAAGGGGTAAAATAGTCTCCTGCTACAAAAAAAACTCATCTAGCTTCATGCAGCTGGCTACAGCCTTCCTTCAAGTATTGCTTTGCCTTTTTTTTAGAGCTACTTTCCATACATACAAGATGATGTAAACCTGTAACTAGAAGGGGCAGAGCAGTCGCAAAAAGGCAGAGCTTGCCGATCAAATAATCAAAAGAGCTTTGGATTACTGAACACTGAAAAAAATGGCTGCACCTAAAAACCCATTTGAATAATAATCCTACAGGATTCATTTACCAGAACTTACTCAACTACAAGCCCCTTCTATCAAAAGTCTAGTCCAACAAACTGTATAGGTACCATAAGGAGTTGCACAATCCTGGCAGAACAGTGGTCTCTATTCAGGCAACTGTCTGTACATGTATGTACTGTCTGTACATGTATGTACACTTTAGAAATGCAAATATTAAATGTGTCAAATATTAGTCAGCTGTGAATATGTGAGTATGCCACAAAGGACGATTTGATAATGAAAAGTATTCAATAGCATTAGAAGCAGGTCCCTGTATGGAGTTTCCATCAAGATCAAACCCTTTCTTTCTCACAAATGATGAATACTACCACATTTACTCTGTTGACTAGTAGTAGTTGGATATTAGTGGAGACTGATAAGTTAGAAGGCTTTTTTTTCCTGTAGTGAACAAATTGTGCTATCACTGTGATGGGAAAACAGACTTTTTCCTTGGATATTCATTCGAAATGGAAGTTCTTAAAGTGTCCAGGGAGTTTTCCATCTGTACAGACTGTGATTTTCTGCACCTTTTGGGGAACAAGTCCTTGTAGAATTCCACAGCTTTCTTCTGGAAGTGTTTCCCTACAACTACGTACAAGATTGGGTTCAGGCAGCTGTTGCAAAAGGCACAGTATGTACCTATCTGGGTCACTATGTCGTTGATTTCTTCCAGGCATTTAAGAGTGGGTGCAAGGTAACGGATTGTGTCAATGAACGTGCTGATTTGGAATGGAAGCCAGCAAATGATGAACAGCAAAAGCACAGCAAGGACCAGCATGGTGGCTTTCCTCTCTGTCTGGACTAACTTAATTTTTTGTAGCTCATTACTTCGTAAGGCTTTGATGATTTGCATTGTACAGTAGGTAATTACACAGAGTGGGATCACAAAGCCCACAATATTCAACAAGCAGTTGTTCGCAGGCTCCCAGTAGCTGGCTGGGTAAACAAGAGTGCAGGCTGTGATGTTGTATTCTGCATAATAGTGTAAATTTCGGAACACCATTGTAGGTGAACATATGAGCAATGCACATGTCCAGATGACAAAGCTATTCCATTTGGCACAGACAGTTCGTCGCATCCGTCCAAGAGACATGGTTTTCACCAAGGCTAGGTAGCGGTCGATGCTCACAAGTGTCAGGAAATAAATGCTAGAGTAAAAGTTCATGTTACTCATTACATTGACAGCTTTACAGAGGAACAGGCCAAAAGGCCATTGGAACCCATTAGAAATATTAATGGCCCAGAAAGGTAAAGCACAGACCAACATTAAGTCAGCAAGTGCCATGTTTGCTAGGTAAATTTCAGCCACTGTGCAGCGACTCTTGTGGAAACACAGGACGATGAGGACAAAGGAATTTTCCAATGCTCCAAGAATAAATATAAACCAGAGGAAGCCAGGCTGAAAGTCCTGTAGCCATTGCCATACATATGAATCAATACATTTGTATTCATTCAGCTGATGAACTCCTGAATTATTGTTGCAATTTGTTGGACTGACTGTGAGCTCCTGAGTGGCCACGATGTTGTAAAGTTCCGTAGTGTTTTCATTTGTGATGGAAACCATTTCTGTGCAGAGAAAGAGAAAAAAGGTGACATGAGATTGCTGTACCTAGCTCATTGCTGGAAAAGTCACAGTAAGAAAAGCTGACGCTGCTTTCATTACTGTCCTAAAAAGCATGGCTTTGAACAGGCTTACAATTCCCTGTGTTGCTTTCTCATACATACTTGCAGAGGGTCTCACATACTAAACTGCTATAGACTGAAGTCACTTGAAGTGACCGAAACAGAGGGGATAAACAGCATACATTGTAACCAACTTTTTAACTGAAAAGAACATCTGCCAGCCTTTGTTCACTAGAACCAAGCTGTAGCAAGTCTTTTTTAATTCTTCGGGTAGGTTCAGCATTACTTTCTCTTCTTATCTTTGGGTATCGGTATCCAGTCTCCTAAAGGACAGATGGTACCTTGTGAATCTCCTATTGCTCATTGTTAAGCTGCTAGCTCTGTGGCATGTACCTCAACATTTTACACCCTCTCCTGTAAAGCAAGAATTGGGTGGAATCCAATGGTGCTTCTTCCTCGGACAACACCATATTTTTTCCCAAATGTTACGACTGTCACAGCACACATTTAGTTTGCAGCTTTAGTTTGCACTTTGAAAGCTCGAGGAGCAAGATCAGTGTTTGCAAGCACTGTGCCTTTCCCAACTTCGCACTGGATTCACCCATCCATGTATTCATGTCTCTGTGCTACATTCTCTTTCTGCAAGTAAGCCACAGAAGAGAGAAATGGCACCACTTTTGTAAGAGACCTTGATTTTAATAGGTCTGCAGTTTGGCAAAGACGGTGGTCATCATGTAAGCCAGGACCTGCCTGCAATCAGGCTTCACTGAGCCAATTTGGGTCCAAGACAACCATCTGAAAGCCAAGTGCTGTACTGTAAATATGCTACAGGTCAAAAAGCTCAGGGTATGAGAGGAAACTATTAAATATAGCTTCCTGTAAGGAAGCGCATAAATATCAGATGTGTATTTAAATGTTACTGAAACCAAATGGAAGTTGAGCATGCAGCAAACACTCAGTACTGTTAAAATGTTAACAGTGGCTTTATTGTTGTGTACTCAGATAATGAATGTGGAGGTATTCAAATGCAAGATTGGCTTCCCAGAGCTGTATATATAATTCTCTGGACTAGGTGACAGAAATACTGTTTGTCTTTTTCCAGGTGTTTAAAATACCACTGTTTATATTTGGGTTGACTGGAAGATTTTCAGAGGTATTTTTCATTAAGGCATTTGTCTGGTTCAGCTGGTAACTTTGAAGTAAAAAGGGGGCACATTTGTAATTCCTGAAAGGATGGGATTCTCATTTGTGCTCTGGTTACTAGATTTCTAAGTGTCAGTGCTTAATATGCATATAGACATTTGGCTGTTGGATGCAGAATTACTGAAAAATGGTGGTCATATTTTGTGTACTTACTTTTAATTAAGCACTGTAGTACTTAAGAATCAAGAGGAAAGAGAATACCATATTTTTATAAAGACAGTAACAGAGGAGACTTTCACTGTCCTGTAAAACCTGTAACAGGGGCATCATGCAGGATAGGTTACCTGAATAAAACAGGCAAGTGGCACTGAGAACCTTGGAAGACAGGCAACCTAAACTGGACTAATGAGCACAAACTAAAATGTCAACAACATATATTTCTAATCCTCCAGCCCTTCATAACTTGAGCTAAGGACAGTATTTACAGAAACTGGGTAAAAACATAAAAATTCTCATCCTCCAAGTTCATCCTTCTGAAATCTCAACTTTTCAAGCCCATAGCTAACTGCAGGAACATATCTCCATCCTCTATCCTTGGCCTCTTTGTTAGCCCTGATCATTAGATCAACCTTGATCTTAAGTCATCTGTATCCTTCTGATTTCTGATTGTTTTCAACCAGCATTTGGAGAATGGGTTGATGGAGCCTCTTTATTGTTTAGCATTAAATGTAGCAGACAACCATCCAGTGACCTATGCTTTTAGTGACACTGGTTATCTGGAGCTTTTATGTGTAGTGGATATGGATTTATTTATTCTGTACTGAAAGCAAACACCATCTGCAGTGCATGCTATGCAACATTACCAATATTCTGATTATGTCCTCTTTTAATCTTCCAGCTGCAAGCAGCTACTGTAGGTTGCAAATGCTTTGGTTAGAAATATTATTTTTGTTTGAACGCTTCCTGGCATAGCAGAGCACCTGCATCTATAGTGCATTTCTTTGTGACTTTATTCATATTTAAGCACAATGGAATATAGGACAATACCAAAAGCCTCACTGAAATCCAGATGTGCTTGATCTATTGCATGTGCTTTATCCATTAGGCCAGATTGGATTAATGCAACACGATTCTATTCTTGGCAAATTTACATTGGCAGTTCTTTTTCACTTCATTATAGCTTTTTGTTCTCTATATGTGAATATACTGACTATTTACTGTTTTGCTGTAATGCTTTCTAGGTATTTAAATGAAAGTGGCAGGTTCATAAATCGCTGCTAGTTGTGCCTTTTAAAGTTAGGTATTGCGCTTTTCCCCTCTGTGGGCTTCTGAAATGTCCCCATTCTTGGTTTCACAGACATGAAAACTGATAGAAAGATTTCCTCTCCAAATTCCTGAACCATGACAGGGTGGGTTATATACAATCCTGCCACTTTGTATATATTTTTTAATTTTTTATTTCCTAATTCACACAAATCCAATTGTTCTAATCAATCATCTTACATATCAGATCATGATCTTTATTTCTGAGAGCACTGAAACAGTCTTCATTGAACTTTTCATCATTCTCTGAGTTACTGGTTCAATTTTCCTTTTGGTAACAGGCATAAACATTCCTCCATTATCCTTTTACATTTGATGTATTTATAGATACATTTTCTGTTGCTTATGTCCCCTATTAACTGCAAATAATTTTTGTCCTGATATTTTTGGTATTTTTGATGTTCTGAGTTCTTAAATGATACCTTAGATAGCCATACTGTTACCTAATTTATCTCCCTATAGTGAAGCCTGTCATCAAGGTGCTGGTATTTATAAACACTTAAATATCCCAAAGCCCAACTTTTGTGAAAGGTGCCACTAACAAATTGCAGACAGAGGTTTCAAGTCTCCCTTTCTGCATATGCTGGCACTTTACACTGTAAAAACTCATGGGAACTGAAATACTAATGGATGATCAACAAAAGGTCATCTGAGAACAGGGAAGCTATTTTGGTGATGCAATTAGCAGAAGCTGTTTCTTCTGCTAATAGCAGGTTGTGAACCAGTAAAAGGAATTCTAAGTGTATTATTTTTATATATGCTTTGAGGCATACATATCTGTATGCATATATTTTAAAAGATATTCATTAGTAATTCAGAGAGTGGTCATAGAGGCTATGTTGGCAATTTCTGTGCCTTTACCTCATTATATGTCTAATAGAAAAACAATAAACATGAATTAGTTTACAGCAAGTAGCAGCTCAAAACCTTCCTACTGATTTATAGTGTTTTCCCTACAACTATTCTCTGATAGAAAACTCTATAATACTAAAATAAATAAGTTAAATCACATTACTATTGTCTAGGAACAGTGTGCAAAGGCTAGTTAGGATGTGACCAGGTCCGACCTGCCTTCTTGGTCCTTAGTTCTTGGTCCAAGCCCTTCCATAAGGCATTAGTAGAAATGTGGGAGTGAATAAGGTGAAATGTGCTAATGGTCTATTTACAAATGCTATTAAAATGATGTGCTTGGTACTATTTTCTATAGCACAGGTAACTCATTAAAAATATGTGCTTTTTGAATAAATTATGATCGACACAGCCACAGTTTTGAAAAGGGCATGATTTGCCATTTGCTTGTCACAGTTCAGTGAAAATAAATGTGATGTGACATCTTCATACACTGTCTACAAATACTTTCTGTGCAATGCAAGACAGGCCTAATGTCTCAGCTACACCTTTCAAAAAACTTTTATCTGACAGTTTTGACTGAAACACTGCGCAGCTGAAGCTATCTATCATTACTGATTATGAGGGACTCCTGTAGGGGCTGAATTTGTCCCTGCTGCAGTTCATATCCTACTGTCAGTTACCTCCTCCTTGACAGTCACTAAAAACATTGCCCGTCTTTGTCTCATATTGTTCTAGAATATTTTTTGCTAATAGCATTGGGCACAAATGGCAAGGTTTAGAGATTGGGAGGCTATGGGGTGCCTTAAAATACATGTGAGATTATCAGCAAGCTGAAGATAATGCCTAGAGTCCATTGGTGTAGTTAATCTTGGAATAAGTGTCGTGTGGAGGGAAAATCCCTATGCAACAGCCATACTTGCTGTGGCCTATGAATTGTCTTGGAAGAAAAGAAGCAGGATGTTGTAGAATCTTAGAATGGTTTGGGTTGGAAAGGACTTTAAGATCACCTAGTTCCAACATCCCTGCCATGGGCAGGGACACCTCACACTACACCATGTCACCTAAGAGTCTATCCAACCTGGCCTTCGATATTGCCAGGGATGGAGCATTCACCACTTTTTTGGGCAACCTGTTCCAGTGCCTCACCACCCTCATAGTAAATAACTTCTTCCTTATATATGATGAAGAGGGACAAAAAGCCCTTTAAGGATCAAAAGCTGTGAGCTAAGGAATAGAAGGGCAGAGGAAAAAGCCAGGTCAGAGCTCAGTTAATGCTGCTAATGGATGTGAGCTGGCTCCAGGACACCTAACCATTTGATGCATTCATTGCTTTACTTTCCAAATGGGGAAATGCCCACGCTGCATCAAGTGAACATTTTTCACAACCCATTTTGAATCTGGATGCACCCCTACAGCTACCGGACTCATGAATCTATTAGTATAATCACTAGTGGTGTTAATCTTTGCCCATACTATGCTAAACATTTGCTTGTATGCTTAGATGTAGTGAAAAACTGTTACAATGGTATCAGTTAGGTGTTTTCCAAGGACAAGGCCTGAAATGTGTAGTAAAGTGTTCAGATTATTGCAATGTTAACTCCAGCAATCTTCTCCCTGGAAGCAAG